TCCATCATTCTATCTATCTATCTATCTATCTATCTATCGTTCCATCATTCTATCTATCTATCTATCTATCTATCTATCGTTCCATCATTCTATCTATCTATCTATCTATCTATCTATCTATCTGATTGTTGACATGAACACATGGACATGATGATACAGTACTGTTGCCCAAACAAGAGCTTGCTTACATAAGCATTTTATTTCTGTCAGAGATTAGCCAGTCACCTCTCTCTCTCTCTCTCTCTCTCTCTCTCTTCCTCCCCATCTTCTTTCTAATCCTGACCTTTATCATCTTTCCCCATGCCTTGAGCATCCTCTCTTTCTGCCCTTCCTGGTCATTTTGGGTTAGTTTTTTTCAGTGACAGGGGTTTTGTCATGGAGGGACTGTGCCATTGCCCCAGATTCTCCAGCATGTGGAACTGTGACATAACCACAGACGAGAGCCGTGTGTTATACAGAGCATAACATCAAGCTGTGAGTGTGTGCATGTGTGTTTGGGTGCGGAGGAGAGAATGCACATGTATTTGTGTGTTTTACTTTAAATGATAACGTATTCCCAGAGAGGGATTTGTTTTTATGAAGAAATTGCGTTCTGCAAACACTGTTGTTCTCACGTTTTCCCCTGCGAACAGTTTAAGCCCCTGATCAAATTATAAGAGCTGTTAACCCTCTTCACAGTAATTGGCTTAGAGAGAGACAAAACCGGCGAGTCATGGAATCTATTTACATAACAATACAGACAAAAACAATAGCACAGCAAAAGAAAAATGTAATGTGTCTCGTCAAGTCAAGTCTCGGATTATTGTTTGGCGTTTGGATCACACTGTAAATAAACTGCACTTGGGTTCTTCACTACTCTCGCCTTCAGTGGACTGATTCATTACAAAAAACAGACAGATATAATAGAAAATTCTTAGTAATAAAAACAAAGATTCATTCTATAAGTTCAATAGTCTTAAAATGAATTGTAATTATTTTTATCAAGTTACTTATTTTGTAATTGAATTCTTTTAATCTTTTAAACCGTATTTAACATTCATTCGTGTTATTTTATTTCATAAAAAATAATACTTCATTGTAAATTATTTTATTTTATATAGGCTACAATTATATACTATGGATATACTATCAAATTAAAAAGGTATCATAATTTTGATATATACATAAATGTAAATATATACATACATAAATATATAGTAGGTAATAGAGAATGTAAATCTACATAATCACAGGTTATAACAATGAAGCAGTGTTATGCAGTTGTCTTACCGTGCAAAGCATCATCTGGTGATTGAGATCCTGATTGAGCCATGATGGGACGGAGGAGTTCAGGAGCAGATGCACTGACTTCAGCTCCTCTCGACTCTCTTTGCCCGTGTTTCATTGTCCTCTGTGTGTGTTGACAACACTGTTGTGTATGTGTATGTGTTTGAGAGGCTAATACTCACTAATCACTGTTTTTTAGAGGACATTACCTTTTATTCCTCTAGGGGGCGCGCGGTGGCTCATGAAACCATAACCTCAAATCACACGTTTTTTAATTTATTGAATTATTGTGTATCACTAATATTTTCTTTATTGGAAATTTAAAAATATTAATATGATATAATACGAGAATGTGCTTTTGCAATTATTTTAAATCAGTTAGATATTTCAAGTAATCATAAATAATTGCAACAAATGCATGGTCTAATTTACACCTGAATAGTGACATTTGATATATTTAAGTGATATTTTATTTAAAATAAACGCCCAAGAGGTGAAACAGAATAATAATTATTTATCACCCACCGTTTCTGACCAATCAGAGACAACTTCCGTGCATCCACGCCCCGCCCTCTGTTTCACCGGTTTCAGAGCGGCTTTGCTGCTCTGCGCTTATTCTGTTTTTATGACGTAAATGCAGTAATCTCTCTTTCTCCCCACGTGTTTCAGCAGGAGGTAAATATTGGCATCATTCCCTTCTTTTCCATAAATAGGCCAGATATGTGCCTATTTTCAGTTTAAAAACTCAGCAAGTTAGGTCAAATGTTAACGTTAAGTTAAATGACCCATGTCCAGATATGACACATATATTATGTATAAAATTATTTTAAAGGGTCAGTGTCTTTGATAGAGACAAGTGGCACAACAGAGTGTCTCAAAATAAGTCACATGACCAACAAAACATCCAGCATGTGTTGTTTCCTATTTAAAGTCGCCTGAACTCATATAAACTTTTAATACATGGACAGATAATCTCTCCTGATCACCACACACCACCTAATCCGTCTAATAGAAACCTAATTCACTAACAAAAAAGTACCATGGTACTGCCAATATTTTTTGGATATGTAATATGGATAGGTGTTGCATTTCAGTTGTGATCATTTGGATGCAGTTTAAGTGCAATTAGTTGACTTTACACACACAAATCAAGGCTTTAACAGAGCACTAATATATGTCACGAGAACACTTTTCACACGGCCAGCAGCCAGAACCTTTAAAAAATGAAGTTGGAGTGAGAGGAAATAAGGAGGTATGAATTACAGATCATCTAACCACACCTCTTCTCAAAAATGACCAAGTTTATGAAGGTAAACGGGAAGAAATTTTCCTCCATTTCTCTACAGCTGATATCACTTTCTGCACAAGGTAGATTGTTCCTGAATTAAGCTTCTTTCTTTGTATATTAGTGTAGATGCTACCATAATAATTATCTAGCTTTATGTTTTGGTAATCTTTTCAGAACTGAATATTAGCATTTTTAGGACACATCTGTCCAAATATATGATAATTAGATCATAAAACGTAAAACTAATAGACTAATTAATCATGTTCTGCCCATTGTCATTATTATCTCAGTTTTAACCCTATAAAACCTACTGTATCATATTTGAAGGCCTCTGAAAAACGAAGTCAATAACAATAATATTATAATATTTTGTTTTACTTTTTAGCTCATCCTGAAGCTAGCAGATTTTGGAAAAGATCTTCACAACACCTGATAAAAATAAAAAAGAACATCAGGATACAGCGGCAATCAGGAAAACGATGTTGCTGATATTTATCAGATGAAGATCAAGACCGTCAGTCTTTCATGACTGTAAAGATTTGTATTGTTCATTTGACAAAAATCAATGATGACTTAAAATCTCAAATTGATGTATTTATTGCCTTTACTTATGAATGACATTATGCAACTCTGACGTCATTGGATCTTTTTTTAAGACATAGCCACCAGAGTGAGACAAAGCCAAATGAGAAACACTTCGGGATGGACAACGCAACACACAATATGACATGACCTCAAGTGCATTTTTGCTTTGATAGGTTGGCGGTAATAAACATACTCAGGATGCAATTTGTATTAAAATGTTATTTTGTTTGATTTTTTCCTGCCAAATGCATAAATGTAAATCATTTCTTGTTGACCATCCTTTGAAAAACACTTTGATGGTCAGGCAGAGGTCTGGCTGAAGTTCTCAGGTGTCTTTCTGTCTGATTACTGAAGGATGAAAAGGAAACATCCGTCTGTCCATCTAAAGAACACTTGCTTCATCAGGTGCCATTTGACCCCAGGGTTGTTGAACTAAATCATGTTGCTCTGCCCTCAAGGCAAAGCAGCTGGTAAAAGCTCATCTTGCAAAACGCAAATTCTAACGAAAATGCAACCAGCCCAAACGTGGATTGTGTCAAGCAATCAGAAAACAGCAAAAAATATAAGAACGTTTTGTTAACGTTATAAATAACGTTTTATTTATAATAAAAAAAATATATATTTTAAAAATGCTTTTTATTGGTTAATGCAAATGCTAGAGAAAACATTAAGGGAACGCTCCATTTAATCATTTTGCAAACATTATGGGAAGTAGTAAGTAGTTACATTTAAAAACAGAACGTACATCTATATAAAACTTTTCAGAAAAAGACATTACATGAACAATGTATAAATGTGTGTGTGTGTGTGTGTGTGTGTGTGTGTGTGTGTGTGTGT